TCATCTTCCCCAAACGAGTCGGAAGTTCATCCATCTCTTTTATCCCCAGTAAGGGTACTTAAGAATTAAACTCCCCAGTAGAGCGACGGACAATCGATGTTCCTAAACTCTACTCCCCAGACAAAGATCAATACATCCCCTACAGAGTTTCCTCAAACAAGCAAACAGGAATCCCCAACGGAAGCATTCTAGACAAGATTGAAGATACACATACTCTTCATCACCGACAATAGTCAGGGATTTATTTTCTCAGACGAAGATACACTTCAACAACATTACGCATTCATATATCATAGCATATGCATACAAAATGTATATAGCACAATCTCATTTTTTAGAACATCACTACGCAATGCATTTCATACATTATGACATTGCATAAAACTAACTCTTTACCTTTTCAGAAAAGATCAATCGACAGACTGATATCATCAACAAATCCTCAAAACAGATTGTAGGTCACTCCCTTCAAACATCTGCTGGCTCAGATTAAATCGACCAAAGATTTATTCTGATACTTCTCTCAGTAGACCTTTTTCTGGCTCAGATTAGATCAACCAAAGATTTATTCTGATACTTCTCTCAGTTAAATATTTAAAGGCATTTGTTGGCTCAGATTAAATCGACCAAAGATTTATTCTGATACTTCTCTCAGTATCGACCAAAGATTTATTCTGATACTTCTCTCAGTTAAAGATTTAAAGACATTTGTTGGCTAAGATTAAATCGACCAAAGATTTATTATGATACTTCTCTCAATAGACCTTTTTCTGGCTCAAATTAAATCAACCAGAGATTTATTCGGATACTTCTCTCAGTTAAAGATTTAAAGACATCTGCTAGCTCAGATTAAATCGATCTAAGATTTATTCTGATACTTCTCTCAGTAGACCTTTTTTGGCTCAGATTAAATCGGCCAAAGATTTAATCTGATATTTCTCTCAGTAGACCTTTTCTAGCTCAGATTAAATCGACCAAATATTTATTCTGATACTTCTTCAAATACAGTCGAGCGTAGATTCATTCTGATACTTCTATAAACAATTACCTCTGATGACATCTAAAAGCCCATCTCCGATGATTCTCCATCACATCTCCAAATGGCATATTTAAGACCATTCCTGATATAATCAACAAACAGTTTTACTTCATGCACAAGCGAGTGCAAATTTTTGGGCATTTAAGTGTTCAATCATCTTCCACCTTCAAGTCACGAATGGCAGACAAGCCAATCTAACTCTTCAGATTTAATAAAATTTAATAGGGGCAGTTGTTGTACCCCAAAATTTTCCATCTCATTTCTCAGAACATTTCTCACCAAAAATCTCAAATGCTCAAGAGTTCTCAAGGGTTTGATCAGACAAATTCACCTCCTAAGCACTGAGCCTCCAAATTAGGGTTTTGGTTTTCTCAAGGACAATTGGACTTTTGATGCCTCAAATGACTTTCATGGTTCATTATAGGTCTCCAAGATTGCTCATACCAAGTTTCAAGCCTTGCATCACAAATTTTCTTAGTCAATTGCTCAGATGATTGAAAATCAGTTGTATTAGGTGAAAAAAGTCAACTATGGTCAACATACAGTCAAACTTCATTATTTTTTGGCCAACATCAACATTTTGAAATAATACTTATCAATTGATCAAGGGTTGATCATAATTCCTCAAGAAAAGCATTCAAATCATCAAAGGGGGAAAATTGTCAAAATTAGAGTTTTGATTGAGATTGACTCTGATCATTGACTTTTGACCTAGTACATGACCTAATGACTTGAAGTATGATCTTAAGAATTCAAATACAATATATTGACCTAATTTCATGGCTTAAATCATATCTCAAGATCAATGGATTGATAGTTGAAATTTGATCAATTGATGAAAAGTCAACTGATACCCAAAAAGTCAAACTTTGACTTTTTGGTCAACATTACATTTCAAATATCAAAATTCATCAAGACATTCAAAAATATCAAACTTGATCGTCAAGAATCAAGAAAGTCAAGAAATTCCACAAAAAGTCAAAGTTTTCGATACTTAGAAATTTTCTAAGTGTTTTTATACTTGATTAATTCATTACTTCATGACATTCTTTTCACCAAGATGCAAGATGATTCAAGAAAAACTTTCAACATGAAAGTTGTAGATCTTGATGAACTCCACAACTTTGTATTGGAGGGTTGATATCTAAAAAGTGCTTAGATTTGAATATATAAGCTCATAAAGTCATGATATTTTTCATAAAACACTTAGTGAAAATTTTAGCAAGTTAGGTAGATTTTTTGTCCTAACTTCTTGGCCAATTTTTACCAAGCTCCAAGATGATTTAGCAAAAGTGGTAAACATGAAGGTTGTAGATATTGTTTCAAGCTTTCCAAAATTTCAAAGAACTTGAAGATATCATGCTTGAGCTAGGAGTTTCAAAGAGAAGAAGTTGGACGTCCATTCTTGAATTATAGGTCATTTTCATGAAGAACACTTGAGCAAATCTCAAGACATGTTGCATAAATCTTGCTTTGCATGCTTCAAACTTGAAAATCACTCAATAATTAAATGTTTACACAACTTATTGAACCATTTTCCAAGTGTTTGAAGCTTTGTCCAAGTTGATTTTCCATTTTTGGCACAAAGTCACCATTTCCATTTTAAAAAAGCCAACTTTAATCACAATGTCAACTTCTTGAGCCTTGCACTTGTTCCTTATGATCTCACTCCATTGTAAAGTGAAGAACCAACCATCTACAACCTGTTAACCACCCTAGGAGTCCTTGTACTTCACATTGAAACCATAAATTTCAACTTTGCTTCAAAAACAAGTTTCAATACCAAAACATGTGATCTCTTGTTTCTGATCTCTTCAAGCTTCCAAACCTTTTGCCTATAAAAAGAAAATTAATTTGAAACCTAACACACGAATGCACAAGCCTTGAAACTCCCTCAAACACTCCCAAACTCAGAATTGCTCTCAAACTCCATTTTTGTGGCATTTCTGACTTTGAACATCCAACTTCGAATCCACTCGTGCGTTTTCCATTTCAATCTTTCAAACATCATCCATACACTATATAGAAGTGATCCAGGACCCTGTTACACAACTGTAACACCTCCATCACCATCCTCCATTTCCAAAAATAGAGTTTTGCACATTGACTTCTCTAGGAAGATTCAAGCACTCTCAACATAAAGTAAGCTTTACATTAGCTTCCTAGGAGTCCACTGAAGTTATTCAGATCATCTCAACACCTCCAGGAGTTCTCAAACTCAAAACACGATTTCCAGTTTTGAGGTAAGTTTTCTCAATTTTGAACTTCTCATACAAGCATCATTAATAGTTATTTTGTAAAGATAAAATGTATACAAAAATATATGTTTTCTTAAAATAATTAGATTAAAAATATTTTAATTTTTTTATTTTATTTTACTTCACCAATTTTTAAACAAATAAAACCTCAAAAATTATTATTTTCTAGATAACTAAATTAGACTTAGAATTTATTTTTAATTAAATTAGATCTTAGATTTTGTTAATTAATTAACTTCTCTTGTAAATTAATTAGTTTAATTAGGTCAATTATTTTTTATAAAAAAACTATAAAAATAATTTTCTTTTCTCTTTTCTTCATCTTTACATTTTTATACATTTTATTATTTCGCATTTACAATTTATGTAATTGTCAAAGCCTTGTAATAATAGTTAGGATTTAGTTTACTTGTTATCCCCATTTGTAAATTTGTATCCCTCATTCCCAAAGTGATGTAATAGCGTAGGACATTTAAATTTCGCAATTTATAGTTTTTCTTAATATTGTTAGTAATTAGGATTTGTATGGCAAAATTTTAAAATCAACATTAGACAACCCTAATTTAAGATAAAATAATTGAATCCAACATACTTTGCACACATGCACCTCTAGGGTAACCCACACTTGTTGCCTCAGATAAAAATAGTCATGTCCCTCGAGCGTGAGATGTTTTAGCAAAAGACCTTCGATTAAAAGATCATAATCCGTCGATGACCCTTCAAATGTTGCCTTCGGTAAATGATCTTAGTCCATTACGACAATTGCTAAAACATCTTATAAGTTGCCTTCTATGACTGTACGGTGACTCACGTCCGTCTCTCACATTCAATGATATGGTTTCTTACCAAACAATGATAGACAAACACTATCTAAAAGAGGAGGAAAAGAACAAAGACTTTTTGAGTAGGTAAGTTGCTCGTAATTGCTTGCTCATAAACAAAACCATTTTCACAACTCACATTTTCATAATATTTTTAAAAAAAAAATTGTATATATGCTCAACAATACGAGAATCATTACAAAATTGTCTTACATTGGTATTTTCAAAACATTTTTCCAAAACAACAAATATAATCATTATAAAATTTTTCGTACAAAGACGTTTTCAAAATATTTTCAAACTTACCCAAACACAAAACATTTCAAAATGAATTATAAATTAAGAGTTTATAGATAACTACGAATGAAAATGGTACTAACACAACTTATCTCAAACTCAAGAAAATTCTCAAAAGGTCTTTCATGTTCTTTTCACTATTTCTTTTATTGGATAAAAGAAAAGTCGATGACAACTCTTGTTATCCGCAACATTTACGATAAAACGTAAAACACTCAAATCAGTTCTTCCGCTGTATTACACTATGATTTTAAAAAAATCACAATTAATACTACTACTTGAAACTTTGAAAACAACATTTTAAAAGAAACAAAATTTCTTTTTAAAAAGTAACACAAACCGAAAGAAACCGAGGGAGTAATAATTATAATTTCCATATGCTTGTCTAAAATAGAAATAAAAATAAATAATAGAAAAGAAAAAGTAAAAGGATATAATCTGAAAAAATACTAAACATCTCACACATTTTTACATACGATGATCAGCTGTATCCACTACATAAAACTTTTATTCCATGCATAATAAAACACGCAATCGAGTTTAAACAGTAAAGGACGTTCCACAGACATCAATTTAAGTTGTTGTTCACCCTGACCATCCTCTCTGGGGGGCAACAGAGCTATGCACGCTCAACCTATCAAGAACAGAATTGAAATCTATGGTTTGTCCACTTTCCTCCATCCTTTGTATCACACTCGCCACATGGTCACCCCTGAATCCCATGTTCACCAATTTCTCAATCAACTCATTGTAAGGATGATTGCGCACAAACTGTGACTGGCTAGGATTTCGAACCATGAGATTAGGGTTCTGAAGGGAAGCACTTGTTGGAGGATATCCAGATTGAGCAAAATGTGAGGGTTGAGGTGGTGGATGATGTGTCCTTCCTCCCTCACCACCATCATACATCATGTATGCATTACCAGGAGAAGGGGGGAGTGTCTGGTGTGTCCCACCAGCTCCATACACGTCACCTGGTTGTGAAGGAAATGTGCTCTTGATTTGCTGGGGTTGGGGTTGCTGGGGAACTGTTCTACCAGTTCCACCATATCCATATTGCATGGAATCAGCACGGCTGGATCCTGGTTGCGGAACCCCTGCTGAGTATGGCATTTGCATGGGCATGCTGGTTGGCTGTGTATCTGTGGATGATGGATTTGATACTTGGCTTGGCTGGTATGGAGGATACACAGTTGATGAGGGGGGTCTCATTTGAGGTTGCATTGAGGGTTGTTGACCCTGCTGAGGCCATTGCTGCTGCTGCGGCTGCTGCTGATACTGAGAAAATTGTTGCACAGGTGTGGGAGGGTTTATTTGAGATGGTGTTGGTTGTGGAGCCACCCGGGACATGTCTTGTAGTTGGGGGGTTCGGTATTGTTGATCAGAAGGCATATATTGATTCTGGGGGAGCTGAGACGCTGCAGGAGCAGGCGGCATGTAATAAGCAGGTTGTTGAGTGGGTTGATTCACATTTGGTGGTGGAGCTTGGGCCGGGGTTCCTGCAGGCTGCTGCTGAGGAGCAACTTGATGAGGCAGGGCAAGAGCTAACTGATGGTTGTTCGCATCAGATGCATTATCAGTTTTTTTAGGATCTGCAGGTGAGGATCTGTCCTCATTGGACTGTGAAGGGTTTGAGGAAGATGATTCCTTCTGAGCAAGTTGAAGCTTGGCTAGTTCTTTCTGAGTCTCAGCTAACTCTTGCTTGTCTCTTAAAATTTGTACTGACCGGTGAACCTACATAAGGAAACAATGAAAAAATGAGGCTGGAACAAAACCAAGAAAAAAACAGATTACTCTATCAGTAAACTATGTATAAAAACAAAGTTAGAAATTAACAACCTTGATATACAAAGCATGTTAAAAATCTGTGGATCAAGAAAAGATTTTATGCACGATCTCAATTTAACCTTGGGTAAAAGGCTCTGATTGATGTATCCCATAGGACTTTTTGTAGGATAACTTTTCTACATACATGATGAGATTAACAAGTCCTAGCATTCCTGCATCAATTTTAAATTTATATTTTACATTAAAGAGAGGAAGCACGGGAACCACTTTGGTGATGTTGTCTTCATACTGGGTACAGGTTGATAGAGGTGTGTTAAAGTACATGCAGATATGCACATGATGTGTATTCGTTTAAATCTGCACATGATGTGTATTCGCTTAAATCTGCACATGATGTGTATCATGACTTAAATTTTAAACTTATCAGTTTGAGTTCACACTATTTGGCATGGTTGCACACTGGTCTAGGTACAAACCAACAATCCATAGATACATACTGACAAGGCTTAGCTGTTTTCCCTTTTCCCTTCCCTTCCTCAAAACACGGAAGTTTGCTGCTATCCCTCTACCCATAAATGTAGAGAAACCTTTGCATCAAGCAGTTTATCTACAGTTCTTCACTCTTTGCTGTGCTCGCAATTATTAGAGGATCAAATGAACACTTCAATCAAAGACCAAAGAATAAAATGTGTGCATCTCTGCTACCCTGTCCTTGTTGTCGTGTTTTAGCTTGAATTGTTTATTTATGATAAACTACAGACAGGTTAACTGAGAAGTGAAAATAATGGAGACCCCTTTGGATGTTTAATCATTTCATGTTGGTATTAATAGGGGCAGTAACGGTTCTAATAAGAACTTGTGTCAAGAGCTTCTTTGATCCGCAACAATGTCAGAAGTAAATTCATCGCAAACTGCACCTACATCAGCACCTGCATCCAACGTAATTTTGAAGAACATTTTCAAAACGTTCACTCAGCAAATCACACTCAAACTAGATGAAGAAAACTTTCGCTCGTGGAAGCAGCAAATTGAAGGAATTATACGAACTCACAAACTTCATCGCCTTCTCGTAAATCCGACGATTCCTGTGCGCTACCGCAGTGAAGCCAGTCGCAGCGACCATAATGAAAATCCAGCGTATCTCACTTGGGAACAACAAGACTCACTGTTATTCACGTGGCTTCTCACTACCTTGTCCGACGCAGTGCTGCCTCGCATTGTTCGATGTGTCCACTAGTACCGAGTTTGGGATGAAATCCACAAGTTCATGTAAGCTCATACAAACACAAAATCCAGGCAACTTGGATCGGAGTTAAAGTAGATTTCAAAAGGTGAAAAATCTATCTCTGCTCATCTAGCTAGAATTCATAGAATTGATGATGTCCTAGACTCTATTGACAATCCTATATCTCAACGTGACCAGCTAAAGGTTATTTTAGATGGTTTACATGAATACAATGCCCTAGCTTCTATCATTCAATATCGCGCTGATGTGTCCTATTATTGAGGCTGAATCTATGTTGCATTCTCATGAATCTAAACTTTAGAAATTGAAGAAAGTAAACTGTGATCACTGAACCTATGTCTGTTAACCTAGCTCATGGCACCCCAAATGTATGTGAAAATGTACCTCAACCTGTCTCTACTCCCAACTTTGCACCTAGTTAGTGGAATGAAAATCAGTTTAGCAGTGGATCTCAGTTTGGAGGAGGTAATCATGCTTATCTTGATGGTAGATCCTTCAATTGTGGTAGAAGAGGCAGGTTTGGTGGTAGAGGCTTTAAAGTTCAATGTCAGATCTGTGCTAAACCAGGCCATGATGCCAGTGTCTGTTACCATAGACATTCATCCATGATGCCTTCAATGAACTCCCCTTTGCAAGCTTCTTAAATGTGGCATGGACCTTCATTTCCTGTATGGAATTAGTGGACAAACAGTCAGAGTCAATGGCAGTCTCATCCTAATCAGTGGATTATGTCAGATGGTTGGACGGATGGAAAAAGTAGAACCTTGATTAATTTCTTGGTCAATTGCCGGGCGGGAACCATGTTTGTGAAAAGTGTCAATGCTTCTAACTATGTCAAGACGGGGGATAAGCTAGCCGATTTGTTGTTGAGGAAATAGGTGAAAAAATGTTGTTTAATTGATTATCAACAATGGAAGTGACTATGTAGCGGCGGTTAAAATATTATGTTTGAAGATGCCCCATGTGTTTTGGACTCCATGTGATGCCCCACTGTATATAGACATTACATTTGGAACCATACATTTGCTTTGAATCTAATGAGAAAGACTACCAGCAATGTTGAATTGGTTAAAAATGGATTGACAAGGTTTGCTACCTCTTTCCTTTGTCTACAAAGGATGCAAGAACTAAAAAGCAAGCTTAGAGAGATGTTTACTTGTGAAGAATGGGTGAGTTCCAAGTGTGTCAAGGATGCTAAAGAAAAAAGGGCAGCTACTACTATACTTATGGTACCATTTTGGAGCGATGTTGTCTACGCTCTTAAGTGCATGGTGCCTCTTGTAGATGTGCTAAGAATGGTTGATAATGAAAGAAAACCCGCAATGGGTTACATATATTGCCGCAATGGGGGTAGCGAAGGAATCAATTGAAAAAGCTTTCAATTCAAATTCAAGCAAGTACAAAGTCGTATTTGAAATCATTGATAAAAGATGGGAGTGTCAACTTCATCATCTGCTATATTCTGCAAGTTACTATCTCAATCCTGAATATTATTGTGCTAAACCAGAAATTGAGAATGATCCTAAATTGGTGAGAGGCCTTCATAAGTGCATTGAGACACTTAGTGAGCGCGATGAAGTGGAAGATTTGATTTCAGTACAATTGGCACAATACAAGGGTGCTACATGTCTCTTTGGTATAAGAGCGGCAATTAGACAAAGGTCGACATTAGCTCCAACTAAGATGGAAGTTCATTTTTTTACAATTATTGGTCACATGTGAGACACTTTGTGATGTGTATATCCTAATGTAGATGATTTTTTACAATTACTTGCAGCTGAGTGGTGGAAGTCTTATGGAGCCGAAACTCTAGAGTTGCAATTGTTGGTTGTTAAAGTGTTGAATTTGAGTTGCAGTGCTTCCGAATGTGAACATAACTAGAGCATCTTTGAGCATGTGAGTATTAATTTTTTACTAGGATATTAAAGTATCTTACATTCAAGTATTATTACATTAATACTTCAAATTATTGTATTTTAGATTCATTCCAAGAATAGAAATAAATTGGAGCATCAAAGGTTGCAAGACTTGATTTTTATCAAGTATAATCAAGCTTTAATTGAAAAGTTTGAAATTCGGGACAAAATTGATCCTATGGAATTTAAGAAATTAATTATCACAACGAATGGTTGGTGGGAGAGATAGGAGAGGTAGGAGATGATGGTGAACCTATAGACACTTGGTTCATCCAAATAATGATTTAACTTGGACTCAAGTTGCCGATGCAGGGGGGTAATGAGCCTCTAATCTACACTAGGAGGTCAGGCAACTTGAAGTTGGAAGTACATCTAGGGCAACAATGGCACCTAGAGCAACAACGGCACAACAAGTGGTTGTAGAAGATGTTGAAGAAGTTGAAGATGAAGAATTGGAGGAATATTTTGAAGAAGAAGAAGACCTCTTTCATGATGATCTATGATTTCTATGTTTGCTTGAATTTCCATATAATAGTACTAAGTTTGAATTTTCAATCTTGATGTTTTGAATTTTATATAATATTTTGAATCTTGATTAAGCATGGTTCTTTGTTTGACATTAGATTTTATAAATCTTTTATTAGTGTTGTGTTATTTGTTTTGTTTTACACTAAGTATATGCATATGTTTTATAGATTATTATATAATTTTTAGTATACAAAAAGTTATCCTGTTAACCCACTTTTGGGGTCGGCCGCTCCGCTTTGCTATCCGGGATTAATAACTCTAATATGGGTACAAATCTGTCTTTATGCAACAGAGCTATAGCAAACTATCAAGAATATATCAAAACAAGTGAAACCATATAGAGTATCAATTGGATGCTAATATGGCATTATAGTATTTCCAGATGAAGTTGAAACTTACTTCCTGAAGATGCTTTTCAAGAGATTTGAGCTTTGAATCTTGCTCCCCATGATCACGATTTAAATCAGATCTGATTTCTCCGATAGATTTGTCAAGATTGTAGCAATATAACTCCAACTGTGATAGCCTAGAACTAATCCCCTCAAGAAAACGCATGAGGTTGTCGGCATATTTCTTCATACTGTTCTCCACAGTTGCAATCACGTCTTGGCTTAAAAAGTCTTCAGGTGGATTATAGGCAGTAGAAGGAAAAACGGGTGTCCTTGCTACCCTTGATTTGTGAAAATCCTGCGAAACAGTATGTTGTGCTGATATTGTTAAATTTACATGCTAGACTCCTAATAATCACAATTACAACTTACAAGTATATTTTACGTTTGTAAAAAAACAAGAAAATTGAGTCAGGAAAACACATAATAAAGTTGTATCTTGTATGCAAAAACAAAAGACCTAGAATCACAAACAAATAATAATTATAATTCCTAAAAATGGTAAATTTGATAAACCCTAACCCCTTTTCGTTTTAGCGAGTCAACGCCGGAAACAGAAGAAAAAAGGAATCTAAAATACCTTGGTTGAATTAGGGGCGATTACAGGATCGTTGTGATTGCCATTGGAATTGGAATCCCTGTTGGAGAAGTCTTCGTAGGAGCATAAGATATCATCAGAAGCAAAATCAAAGCCTTTAGAAGCGGGGTTACCGTGACGAGACGATCCAGAAGCCATGGACGGGGCTTGAAGATTTGGAAGAAGAATTCAAGAGAGAGGGAGAAAATTGTGTAGCAGTAGTATAAAAGGAAGATAGATAGATGTTTTTTTTTATTTTTATAATTAGTATTCTCACGGATACGTATATGCGCATTTATTTGTAAAATATAATAAAAATAAAATAAATTTTTAAAAAAAAAATACGGTCTCCATAAAATTTTCAATATATAAATATATTTTAATAAATAATATATATTTTTATATAAATATTATTTTATTTTGAATTATTATAAAAAATAGTTAAATTAATAGTAAAATTATTTTATTAATATTTAATATTTTGATAATTAATTTCATGTTCTTGTTAATATTCAATAATTTAATCAGTAATTTCATGTTCCCGTTAAAGTTTAATATTTTGATCAGTAATTTCATTTTCCCGTAATTTGATGTTCTCGTTATCATAAATCTCTGATTTGCATTCTCTTTTTCCTAACGAATCATTCTCATTGCTAATGAAATATAGGTCGGTCACTTTGATTGTTGATCTTGAATAACAGTTGAATTATTGTGAGCTAAAGACACAAGTTCACGAGGCATCTGTCATGCAATCGATTTTTCTTCACGCCACGCGTCATACTTTTGGCATCCGATTACACAGATTGCACACTATAGATTTCACACTACAATAAAATTGCTTAACCAAAATAGTTTATATATTTTTAAAAGAATGTCATATTTTTATTTATATTTGAATTATAAATAAAAGTTTTTTA